AGGACTGCATGGCGCAACTTCATTAAAAATTCCGCGCATGAAACTCGGCTGATGTGATTGACTCTGAGTCCCTGAGTCGTATTGCTTTTGTGTCGGTAAAGTAAGAATTTGCAGCCCTGCTTAGTGTTCTAAGTGAGGAAGATTTTTTACTTATTTCCTACTCGAAAAGTCATTAAAGAAAAGAAATACATTGTTGCAACGAATTTGGGGCGGCTATTGAAGGCGACGACTGAAAGGGTCAGCCAATCAACCCAACCACATTTTGATTATTTAATTTCAAAATGGAAATTTTGCTGTTTTCTTTGACGTGCTTTATTTTCTTTAAAAATCGCCTTATACGTATTAAGGTCAAAACTCCAATAACGGCTAAATACGCTTAGTTATTGATATGTTGCCTGCCCTCACTCCTTTATTTGCTCTGACCGGCAGGAAAACAAGATGCAAACTTATTTAAGTATTGAAAATATTAGCTTTGCTGTTGTTGGTACCGACTGCTACATGCCCCTTAAGCAAGGGTCCTCTCTATTTCCTTTTTTTTTGTTTATAATATTCCAAGGGTTTTTGCTTTTTTTATTATTTTTTGTTTCGTGTCTATAGCGACCCAACTTCTTTGATAAGTTTGACTACAACTTTTCTGCTGTATCCTTTGGTTTCGTGTACTTTAGTTGGCAGGAATGCTTATGTGCTTGTTTATTGCAATTCTGCTGAAATAAACATTTTTTCATTTTTTTTTTTGTTGTGTACAGTAAAAATTTTTGAGAGGCGAAATTTTCGAAATTTTCAAAATTTTGCCAGATGTGTAAAGGGAGCGCCAAAAAGTAGGTAACTAGGTAAGTGCTCACAAATTCGCTGCTAATGCAAGGACATGTACCAAACGGCTTCCCATCATATTTTACATGGTGCGTTTGGTTGAATTGTTGTAAGCCAGATTTTTCTAAAAGTTTGGATTTTTGTATGTTCAAATAAAATTGAAAACGACAACTTTTATTCGCTTCAATAGACTAATACAGAGTTTCTCAAACTGCAATCCGCGAAGTACGTATCGCTTGAAAATATGATTTCCAATACGCCCCCGAAAAGGCGGACTTATTATGTATTGAATATGGTATATCACAGCGGAATATCATTCGATGCTTCGTATTAAAATTCAAATATCAAGGGAACTCCATGACTGAAAAGTTTGGGAATCTCTGGTCTGATTAAGCAAAGCGGCTTAATTATCAATGTAGTATAGCATTTTTGTGCAAGCGAAGTTAAATGCAAAATCGTGAAAAAAAATTTATGGATAAAGAAATTTTTATGCAACTAAAAATGTGAATTTTAAAATATTTCTATTAAAATTTAAAGCCGAATATTGAATTTAAAAACTATTTACCATTTTCGAGCCATAGAGCCGTAAAGCTGCGAGTTGCTTCTAAATATACGTAAACTGACTTTAAATTTTTAAAATTTAATTTTGGAACAAATTCATAAAAAAAAGTTTAGAATTTTTGAATAAATTTAAAATTTAAGAATTTTTATTATTATTAAGACCTTATAAGTCTTACAGTGTATTGATAAATACCTGCTCAAAGTAATAAAAAAACATTTTTTTTGGAAAATCATATTTTATGTCTTATAAAATGATATCCTTTTAGCTCGACATATCGAGTCCAACGATCTTTCAACATTTGGATATCTTTTAAATAATACGATTTATCAAGTCCTCCAAAATATACCTCAGTTTGCCATTTAACTTTATTATTTGATGTAAATATCTTTCACTGGAGCCAACTTTTCAAGTTTGGAAACAGGTAATAATCATTGGGAGCAAAATCTAGAGAATATGGTGGGTGAGGAAGCAATTCGTATTGTAATTCATTTATTTTTGTCATGGTTTTCGTTGACGTGTGAACGGGCACGTTATTCTGCTAAAACAACATTTTTTTCTTCAAGAGCAGTGGTTGTTTTTTCTTGATTTTCCCCATTCAATCGATCCAATATTATGCAATAGTAGTCTGATGTTATTCTTTTTTCTCTTTTTAAATAGTCTATGATAATTATTCCACTTGAGTCGCAAAATACGGAAGCTAAAACTTTTCCAGTCGATTGTTGAGTTCGTGCTACTCGCAGGCTTTAACCACTCACTGGTTTATTGTTTTCCCTTGGGTGTGCAGTAATGGATCTATGTTTCATCAATTGTTACTACTTGACAATTGACGCTCACAGTAAGCTAGATTGTGTTTAAACATTTTTAAATAATGTTTTGCATGAAACAATGAAATTAGAGGTAAGTACTTCCTTTAACGATCTCTAGGGGAACATAAGTTGGTACCTTTAAGGATAGCTCTCTCTTATATGAACATAAGTACATACTTCACCAAATATTATTTAAATGCCCTTCTTAAAAACGGTTATTATTAATATCCATCTCTTCAGTTTATACTCGTATGGCCGGTATAGAATATAGTAATCAGATTTTGGCAAATTCAGTAAATGACGTTGCTTTTTATAAATCTAGTCCTGTTCCAACTTTGAAATGCATATAATAGAAAATAAAATAGTTATTTTATCAAAAAATTGTGACTGATTTCGCAGTTTATTTGTCAGTTATACATAAATCTGAACTGATATGAACAAAATTTTGTATATTCCCCTATAGAAATATAAGTATATTCTGTGCCAAATTTAGTTTGCACATCTTTATTAAAAACAGAGTAAACTCATGTCCGATTGTTAAGTCATATAACAGCTATAGAATATAGTGGACTAACTTTGACCTTGCCGTCAAATAATGAACTTAGCTCGTCGAGTTGATCAAAAACATATATATTTTATAGAGTCTACGCTGTTTTTTTTAACGCGTTGCAAAAATCTTAAACTAATTTTACTTTTTCTGTATAAAGAATATGAGGACGGAAAAATAAATTGCAGTGACAAAGTCCCAGCTGTAAAAGAAATTAAAAGAGCTCACATAAAAGAAAAAAATATTTATTTTTTGCATCCTGAATGTAAGTACACACAGAAACTTCAGAGAAATAATATCAAACTTTTGCTTTGAGCATCACTGCGTTACAACAAACAAAACAATAACAACAGCCGAATTGCCAGTAATTAAAGGATGTGTAAGAACAAGAACCAAATTAAAATTAACAATGGCAGAAAAGACATTGCCAACTATTAATGAAAGTGTTTCCTTAAAATAAAAAAATATGAGATTCATACACAAAAAAGTAGAACTTTAAAAGAAAAACAGAAAAATGCAATAGGGTAAGAAAAATAAATAAATAAAAGAGTGGGTGGTCTTAAGGGAAAGCATCAGTAAATGGTGAAATAATGAAAATGAAGAAGTAAAATAACATTTAAACACATGTTAATTATATATAAAATAGATAGTGGAGAAAGAGAGAAAGAGCACACCAACTAATAGAATAATAAAAAGAGAGAAAGAACATTAAAATTATAATTAGAGCTATGCACAAAGAAACCGGAGAGCGTAAAATAAATAGAAAAGTTTAATGAAACCAATTAAAAATATAGCAGAAAACTAATTTAAGAACATTTATTATGTATAAAATTATTAATGGAACAATAGAGAAAAAGAATAGTACAAAAATATATGAAACGATACCAAGCCAAAAAGAGAATAATAAAATGAACAAAGAAACTGGAGAGCGTAAAATGAAAAGAGAATTTAGTTGAAGCGACAAAAATAGAAAAGAAAATAGATTTGAAAATATTAATTATGTATAAAAATGTTAGTGTAAGAAGAGAGAAAAGGAAGAGTACAAAAATATATAAAATAAAAATATTATATACAATATATAAACATATGAAAAAGAGTAACTTCGATTTTAATTTGGTCACGGTGACGAGGCTTAGTGTATATTGTTACTATGGTTAAAACAGTTAGTCACAAATTGCAAAACTTGCGTCTTTTGGGAAAAAATTATTACATTTTTAATAGATTTTGGAGAAAAAAGGTAAAGAATCATATCACAATTGTTAATTTCTTAACTTTACTACTATTTCAGTATGTTTTTTTCCGCTTAAAATTAAAAATAATTATTTTTATATATAGATATACTTACGTATCTGTACAAAAACACAAATATATATTCATATATATTCTGACATTTATTACTGAGCAACATTACTTTGACTAACGATACCGTGATTAATTTTAAGTCGAACTTTCTCTCTTTCTTTCATTCACAATTTCACAATTAATTTATATTGAAAACAACAAACAAAAAATTATGGGGGCTCCAACGAGACAACGAGAACAAACCTTTCTCACAGCTAAATGATCGTGTAATATTTTATATATGCTGATGGAACTAATGCCTATGATTCCACCACCCTCAATCTCATAGTGTGTCGCATGATGACCTTGCATTACTCGTATTAGTTTTGCACAGCATCAATGTTTTCTGTTTTGCTGGCACAACTGATGCTAACTGATTTTGCAAGATCTTCACACATTTCAGTGAGGTCAGTGAGAGAACTGCGGCTCCGATTATAATCATTGTAGTAGCGTTTTACAGTGGCTTCATTATAGTATGGAGATTCATCGCCAAATGTTGAAGTAGGTTGATCGATACATTCTTGTCTTGATACGAGTAGTTCACGTCGAAGGTTATAACAAATCATTTCACTAAAAATGTTCTCGCGTTAATTCCACTTTTTCTGGAACATTCAATGTATCACATAAAGTCCAGTGAGCCCTAGCAATGCTCACTGGACTCACCCCATTACACATTACAGTTAAAAGGACTGCGACCAGTGCTGCACTAAGGCTTCCTTATCTAGGTAATCTTAAAGAGGGCAATCTGACAGGACACGCAAAGATTCTAGATGAAATCTGGAATTCTCCGTGCCTTAAGGTCTTCGACAAGATGAATAGAAAATTAGTTTTCTCCAGGGAATTCGAAGTGGTCATTAGTGACCGATCAACTTGGAGAAATAATAAAATAAACTTAAAGCAGGGCTCTCAATTATGGTATACTGATGGGTCCAAAATGGATAATGGCAGTGCAGGAGCAGGAGTTATGGGACCAAACTTCCGTAAAGCAATCGCAATGGGAAAAACTGCTTCCATTTTTCAGGCAAAGGTCCATGACTTAGAGCTTTGTGCAAGAGAATGCATACGTAGGGACACCCGAGGTACCAACATATGCATTCTATCAGACAGCCAAGCAGCTCTAAAATCTTTAGCAAAATCCTTATTCCAATCAAAGCTGGTTTGGGAATGCTTTCAACTTCTCAACACCCTAGCATCGAGGAACTATGTTACTCTTATGTGGGTACCGGGACACGAGGGGCATGAGGGCAATGAAATAGCAGACATATTAGCAAAGAAGGGTGCATGTACTCCTTTCATTGGGCCAGAGCCCTTCTGCGGGGTAACAAATAGCTTCACAAACAACTTATTATGTGAACGGGAGAAACAGCATCTACTTGAACACTGGAGAGCCCAAACAGGCATGCGACAGTCAAAAAGATTCATTGATCCTGAACACATCAAAGTTGATGCTATCATCAACCTTAGCAGAAATGATATCAAAATCTACACTGAACTTCTTACAGGGCACTGTAGACTTAATTACCACATGAAGATTATAGGTGCGGTAGAAAGTGATTCCTGTCGACTCTGTCATGAGGAGAAGGAAACATCGGAACATGTTCTATGCAACTGCCCAGCGGTGGCAAGACGTAGACTCGATTACCTTGGTAGCGGGATCCTGGTCCCAAATCAAATAGGTAAAATTAAGCCCACTGCAATTATAAGATTTATAAATAGTCTAAAATTGTCCTAGTTGGGCCTATAGGCGCACAATAGATCTTTTAGGTCGGGGTGCATAAATAGCCTATTTTAAATAATAATAATCACATAAATCACTGTAAATAATAGAAATAACGCTTTTTGACAAAAAGTCTAAGATAGGTTAGTTTAATAGTGTCAAACTTTCGTATGGAAACATTAGATGACACCTGACAACAATCAGTGTTGCCAAGGCTTAAAATATAGCAGTGACCCTCGTATCTAGTTAAGCATTCTGAGTTCCAGATATTCTTATATAGTATATATGAACTATAATTACTTTTGGAAAATTAAGTTATGGAAATAACGATATAAAAATGTGTGTTAAGGCTCAGATCTTCGGGTTTTACTCTTTAAACAATTTGAAAATTGTAATTTAAAGCAAACTCTGCTCTCATAGGCAAAAATGTGCTGAGGTCCACGATTTTCGGCTGTAAAAAACACAAGCTAACAGTAAAACAGAAATTTCTGTGTACACACGTTCAACCACTTCAAACTGCCCGGAATTGTACACAACCACACATATCCTTGAAAGTGCGGACTAAGAGATATGGGTATGCCCTATGCATACTATGGGTGCTTTTCACCTTTCTTCAGTGAATAAAAACTGTTTGGTTGAAACAAAAAATGATTTCTGCTATGCTGACCCCAGGAATGTTGAGTTTCGGTGGTAGCTACTGGAAATGTGTGTATGTATGCGCATGATAGTTGGTATGTAAATGTGCAAATGTGTGCTACGGTAATAAAAAGGCAAAATTTTTACTAAATTTTTTTCTTATTTTATGTTTTATGCGAAATTGCAAATTTAATTTTTGTGCGTAAATTTTTTGAGCAAATATTTGCCAAAAACAAAGTCTTGTCTAAAATTTGCGATTGTGCTTGTACCGGGTGGACTTGTTGTCCTTTTCGATGTTCTGTTCATTTACTTGTTTCGTTCAATGCTCATATTTTTAGTTAGTTTGAAGATTGGATGAGTTTTGCTTTTACATTTTCATTAATAAAACTGAATTTGGTTGATTGGCTGATAAAATGGCCAAAAAACTGGCAGTGAAGTTGTTGGAAAAATACAAAAGGATTCTAACCAATTATAAGAGGCATCGTGTACTCGCATGTGTAACTGACGATTTTCGCCTCACTGACTCGATTTTGTCAGTGTTTGTGGGCCATTTTTGTTCTCTGGTATTTCATATTTTCTGCTTTGTTGTTCGTTGTTTGCCAGGGGCTTCGAGATATTTTGCACTAAGTACCGTGCTTGTGTGCAGAACTATTCACTTAACTTGTTAGTTGCTGCAAGCCAAGAAAAACAAAATTACGCAGTTAAACATGTACCGAAGCCAATAAGGACACGAGATCATTTTCTGACATATGCTTTAAACTGTGAGGATTCCACCAAAGGCTCACACAGAAATTAACCAAATGCAGCATCCTTTTGGTTTTGATATTTATAAGTTGCTCAAAATTAAACATCAATTAGTTGTAGTCAAATTTTGCCCATATGTGTACATTTGTTGTTATGTTGGTCATGTTTATCCATTTTTTTCTCATTTTAATGGTTTGGCCTACACTGCGGTTTAATTAATTTTTGCTTTGTCGTAGTAAAAATCTCTGACCAAACAACTCTTTATTTGCCTTTGGCACTGCCATGTTGGGCTCGCCTTGACTTGACTTTTTATATATGCATTTTTGCATTTCGTAATTGTGATTTTCACATGAGTCGTTAAACACGGTTTTAACTTCTGTTCTCCATTAGCTCGATTTTTTCATTTTGCTTTCGGATTTTAATTCGGTTTTATTTCACTTTATTATATTTTATTTTATTTGTTCCAGTGAGGATAATAAAACTGGTAAACTTACTCGTTGTGGGGCCCATTCTTAGCTAAAAATTTCAAGCATGTATAATGTGAAAAAGTTTCTGTAATATATTTTTATATTTCATTTAAGTTTCAATTCTTAGCATTGTTTTACTTTACAGAATTTTAAATAATATAAAATATTTATACACTACATAATATATGAAGAACAACTAGAGTCTTTGAAATATATATCGAAAGTCGAAAATGTATATTTGGACGTTTTTGTTTTTTTTGTACAGTAGATGGAAAGTGGAAAACATCGGAAGCTACAGTGAAAAGCAACTTAAAACCCACTAAAACCACCTCTTAGGAATGAATGGAGAAGATTTCCTCAGTAAAGTGGAAACTTCATCCCAGTAATTAGGAGAGAGAGATAGGTTTAGTACCTAGTAGGGGGAGGGGGCTAGTTTCATCTAAGCCAAAAAGCATGGGCGTAATTAGGGAGATAGGGCGATAGTAAAGGTAGAAGTGAGGGATACTTTATCTCTATGTAATGTTGCTCATATAGTATTATAATAAAACTTCTAAAGAAACATAAGTAGAGGTGGTCCCAAAATTATAAACAATGTATGTGAAAATAAACAACAATGAAAGAAATAAATCGAAAATTAGCAATGGATAAAAAGATTAACGAAAGTATTGGAACACAGTTGAGGAAGAAGTTGTTCCAAAACAACATGGAGATGAATAACATTAAAAGTAATAAAAGAAAAATAACCAATAGATAAAAATTTTAGAAGTATTAGAAGAAGAATTATTTAAAAAAGTTAATTTCAGATCAAGAAAGTCTTTAAAAGAAATAAAATACAAAAATTCCAATAGATAAAAATATCAGGAATATTTGAAGATTACCGAAGAGAAGCTCACCTCTTCATGTCCTCTTCAACATGGACATAAACAATATTAAAAGCTTTAAGAAAAAATATTTTAAAAATAAAAAATCTCAAAAGATAACAAAAAAAGAACTGACCGATAATAGCCAACACAGATGTTCTACAATATAACAGAAGAATATAGTATATCGCCCCAAAACAACATGCAAACAAAGGAAAACCTTCCTTTTGGAACAAGAATGAATTTAGGAAGAGTATGATGATTATAATGTGAAGCATTTCAATAGAAAAGAGCCTGGGTTTCAAAATATGCTACCATTCATCATTTGTCCTTATAAAAATTATACGGATACAATTAACATTTAATTACAAAGTATTTTGCTGACAGAACATCACGGGCTATGGTTCCATCTTAACACGATGGCTCTATCGAAGTTAGAAAAATATCGTTTACTGTCTAAAAGAAAATGAAATGTCGATCACATGCACTGCGACTATCTGGTTATGAACTGATGTCTCTGAGTAGAAGATGACACCTCTTATCATATATGTTATGTTTGTATTGTTTAATTTTTTTTACTCTGGGTTGAAGAGGAAGTTTCTGGGTAAGAGTTTTTGTCAAATTCTGGCATAAATCACATTCACTGCTACTGCCTGGCTTTACACTGACATCACTGTTTGGGAGAATATGAGATCTTTAAGCATTCTCGTTATGACTGTCTTATTATATTCTTCACTGCGCAGGTTTGAAGAAAGAATTTTGTGGTAAAAGTTCCTGTCACAGACTAGCATAAATCACATTTATTGCGAAGAAAGAACATAAGATCTTTAATCATATAATTGTGTTAGCATATTATTCGCTGAGTTGGTTTGATGGGAGAATTTTAGTGTGGGAGCTCTCGTCGTAGCCAGGATGTATTAATAACTTCTTAGTGAGAGACATTTTCATCTTCATTTGCATATTGGCTTCTATTAGTAGAATGGATATTCTGAGTCGGAACTAACGTCTCTATCAAACATCTTAGCAACAGACATTTATATAGAGTTTAGGTAACATCATAGCATTTGAGTTTAATAAAAATAAAGCATTGTATATGAACCAAAAAATATACTTAAATACCACTGTTAGAGATAAAATATTATAAATATTTAAGATTATTGATTAAACCGATTGACAAGCTTCTGGCAGATATTCAATTCATTTTAACATAAATAAATATATGAGTACAAACTACCATTAATTGATATATAAGTAATTTTATTTTCGTTTTATATGCATTTAACATTAATGGCTATAGAATTCAGAAAAATTAATTTAATTCATTCAAAGCAAAATAATTTTTGCTAAACGCTCTTGTCATATACATTTACAAGGATTGTAAATGATTTAAACTATATTAATGGATAAGGCATTAAATAGTTACTGTTAACTGCTTTTGGCTCTTCACCCATTTTTATGAAATTCTCTGTTATTTTTGATTGTTCCGCAATATTTTTCTGGGGGCAGGATTAAGCCAAAATGGTGCACATTAAAATTATATGGATATATTTGGATCCTTGTGTATATGTACGGGACTTCATATGTAATGATGACGCTG